TGTACAGTATATAGAACTTGGTATACTAATATACTATTATGTTTTGTGTTATCTATACTAATTTATGTGCACTATTCTACTAAATAATATTTAAGAATTATTGTGTTTAAGAATATCAAATTTTATTGTGATCTAAATTTATTTGATTTAGTATGTACAGATGGCGGCTAATATGGTTATTTCATGTATACCTTACACTTGCGTTAGATATATTATTGAAACAGAACATATTGTGAAATATACTGTAAGATATAAATCAACGTTGCACTTTTGACCATTCTAAATGTTATGTTATTACAATTTAAAATTAAAACCCATTAGATTAGTAGATGGTAGTAGATTAGTAGATAATATATAATGCAATGAATTGGTATTAATTGAAATACACTAATATTTGTTGTGTACATGAGTTGAGATTTAATATAAAATGTTTTGCGAAGAAAAGTGTCCACTAATTAAATGTCATTTCAATTGTTATGTTAGCCTAGGATTAAAAAACAGGATTTATTAGACAATTGTTTGTTCACTTTATATGAAATTAGAGCACATATAGCTCAACATAACGTCATTAGATATACATATAGTGTATACCAATACAACTACAAACAGATATCTTACCAGAGATTTGGTACTATTTTCATGCCTCAAATAAATCAATAAATCTATCCCCAGATTCAATAATAGATACAGAATGGTGAAAACTATGCTATATAACAATTATTTTCAACAAACTATTTGCCAAATTAAACAGTGATTATATGAATATAAATGTTTAATAAATATGTTGATAATTTGTCTTCAAAATTCTAGTAAACTATTCAATATTAAATATTGTATTAAATATAACATTTCAATCAATATTATTGATAAAATTAATCCTTACTTTCAATTAAGGAATAAATATTAAAGCACTTGATTTTCAATAATGATTATGTTATCATTTATTATTATGTTAACAATAGGAAATGCATTAATAGTATAAAAACTAATCATGTTTATTTGGTTATACACTATTGTACTATTGAGCCTCTATTGTAGCTCTAACTTTAAGAAACAGTCTGTAATCACTAGACTTGAAATGTTAAATCTAATGTTTTCATTTCGTTGATATAACATGTACTCCCAAAATGACCTTTCATTCAACGGAGGTTTTATAGTATTGTTTTCTTATAATTTTGAACTTTGTTTGTCAAACAAGAAAAACAATTGATTTGAGAATTACATCAAAACATTTTCCATTTCAATAACACAGCAGATGAACGCTTGTTGTGTATTAAACACAACACAACATACGGTTTAATTATATTTACTTTTATTAAACTTCTTAGTTCTAAGTATTTAAAATTAAATTTTCAAACGGATATTATATAGTTTCGATATAATTTAGTGTTAGTATCAGAAATAGTAGTAATAAGTGTTTTCAATTTAAATCAAGCATGATAATGGACACAAATCTGGCACAAATGTAATTTAAGTTTTATTATAGTTCTATTCGTAATTGATTTGATTAAAGAATTGTATTTGATATTTAATTTAATCAATTTAATCCATAAAGATGATTGCTTTTAGTATATATTTATTTTTAAGTATACGTTTGAAAAATCTAAAAATGTTTTCGAATTATAAAATTTAATTGGAAATATAGTATAATATATAATACATTCACAGTATAAGGATTTAAGTAATCAAACGCCACTATTGTGTTAAATCTACCATATTTTAAATAATGTCATATAAATTATATAAAGCATAATAAACCAAAATTCAATAATTATTATTCTGGTTATGAGTCTAATAATAGAATATTATATATTATGTACATGAATACAAAATAGGATTCGCATATTCCACATCATACCAATCTGTATTCATTAATATTAATATTATAATATTTATATCAACATTAAGAATATACACAACTCTATGATTGCATCGACTAATGTATGGATTATAACATGGAAAAGTGTATAGACTCTATACTATAGAGCTTAATAATAAGGGTTTTCCGTACGGAATCGTTAGCAAAATATATTTAAAAATTAAGACAATATTTTATATAAGAAAAGTTTTATCCTTTTTATAGATATTCACGCGAGTGAATAGAAATCTATTTTATCATTACTCACTCAACAGTACGGTATGGCTATGTATGCTATGGCTGTATAGCTTTACTAAACTTGATATGACTCTCTCTCTCTCTCTCTCTCTCTCTCTTTCACTCTCTCTCTCTCTCTCTCATCGTTTTCTAGTCAGACATGAGTGCAATTTAATCATTCATTATTTTGTTGTAACCATTCGTTTCAACAGTTGGTAAGCTTTTATGCGTTTGAAACAAAAAGCAAATATAGTATACATTAAATATAATATTTCATCGTTTTCTAGTCAGACATGAGTGCAATTTCTAAAACCCAAGGATTAGTTGAAAGCTTAATAGAGAATCAAAATCGAGAAAAGGATGAAATATTATATTTAATGTATACTATATTTGCTTTTTGTTTCAAACGCATAAAAGCTTACCAACTGTTGAAACGAATGGTTACAACAAAATAATGAATGATTTATTCATTTCAACTATATTTCTATTCACTCAATAGAGTTTGAAAAGATTTATTATTGACTAAATATCGGCTGAAAATTTCTAGAAATTATTTCACTCATTAAAAAACATAAAAACAGAACACGTATTAAATAATCATTAAATTGAATGAAATTAACATTACATGAAATTATTATAATTTGTTTAATAATATGTAACAAAATGTATATTTAAATATATTAATCAGAACTAATGAAATTGTCATTAAATAATACCATGAATATAATGCAAAATTTGTATTGATTATAAGAGAAAATAATTATTTTAATTAACAAACACGTAAAAAGCAATCTTAACACTAAAATGCTTTGTTATAGTTATGAAAATGTGCTAGTAAATTATATCGTAGATAGATTACTACTTAAAATAGAATATCCAAAGAAAATTTCTTTCAAAACATTCCAAGAAGTTTCTGATTGCAATCACTAAAGTATATTATTTTTAGATTTAGAAATTTAAAATTCTTTGAAAATAAAATGCAATTTTAAAAGAATTTAAAACTAATTCCTCAGCAAAATATCAAAATCCTTGAAGAATTCAGTTTTAATTTAAAATATCTAAATCTTAAGTATTTATCAATCATTCAATTTATGTTATTTTCCTTTCATTATTGTTATTATGAATTATAAATAAGACTTAAGTCATGAATGAGTGCTTTAAACAAACAAAATTTAATTTAATTACGAAATTGTATTGTCTATAGAATTAAATCTTCACTTAAATAAATTGCATTTTATCATCAAATATAAAAACTCAAACAATTTGTTCATTAATTGTGTATAAGAATTATACAGTATATAAATGTTTATATTGTATAAACTAGTGAAAGCCACCCCCTAGCGGCGTTTACTTTTTCGTTAATCATTTCACTTTAATACAGTGTGTCGGGCCATACGATATACTATTTATACAGTACACTGTATGAAAATAAAATGATTAATGAAAAGTAAACGCGTTTAGTTCTGTGGCCTTTACTAGTATAAACTATGTTCAGGTCTTTGTTTATATTACTTAAAATAATAAGTTTTACATTATTATAGAAGAATATTAGCCATATATTAAATAATATTAATATATTAATAATTAAAGATATTATCTATTTATATGTATATAACTATGTCATAAATATGTACTAAGTGTGCCAATCACTTCTGATGATTTAATAAAATGGAGATGATACGACAAATTACACTAATTTTAAAGTTTTTATTACATTACAAGAAATGTTAAGAAAATAAATGGTATTATTTATTCATGTTTAAACAAACTCTAATTTATAAAATTCGCATTAGAGATGCCTAATCTACACACTTTTAAAAGTAGTCAATAAAAATATCAAATAGTTTTACTAACTTGCTAGTTGAAGCCTACGAGACTATGAATAATGGTAAAATATACTATAATTAATGGACTTTTGTAATAATATTTGTTTGGCTTCAGAGTTATTTAGTTCTTAAATAAATTAAAATCAAAAATTTTAAGATGACAATAATCAGAAATGGTTTGCACACCCCGTATATATTTGAAATAATTAATGTAAAGCCAATATTATAAACATAATTATTTTAAATGTTTTCTTATTTAAAATTATATAAATATATAACTATATTGTAAATACCATAGAATAAGATAAATTATATCATAATAATAGGTCCCTGTCTTCCATATGCTGTAATGCATTTAATGATGCACTCAATACACACTTTGTATATCTAATGAACTGCAGTATTATAATAATGATTATAATGGATAGACTATATATCCGGGAACATTAGTCCTTAGACTTTACTTTATATAAACTTGAAGTGAATACAAAAAGGGATCGGAATAAGATCTAATATACAAAATATATAAATTTATTATTAATTTCTAGTCATATCATTAAAATTATATTAACTTATTGTGTTATTAATAAATACTTTTATAAATGGGAATCTTTTTAATTATTTTTATGTTTATAAATAATTTCTCTTTGACTGATATATTTAGATAATTCTATAATTTTATAGTGTTTTATAATTTATAAGATAAGTTATAAATAATAGAAAAATATAATTGAACCCATTTTACAATTATGTTTTTCCTTAAGACCAAAGTTGTATCAAAATAGACACTCATTTCAATTCTTGACACTTACAGGAAAAACAACTTATTTAATGGTTTTATTGCAGTTAATATTAAAGCCTTATTTGGTAAATTAATTTCGACAAAAAGCTCAAAACTGAAAGCCCAGGAAAAAGTAAATTTCATGTCTATATTTGAGAATTGCTTGCACTTTACGCTACTTTACTCTATTTTACTGAATAATACTATAGTGTACTCTATTTTGCGTATACTATTGCATGAGTACAGAGTGTAGAGAATGTATTGGAAATACACGTATATAAACGCTTGGATACCCAGAATGATGGTAAGCGCCCGAAGCACTCCAATAATACTCTCTTGAGATATGTTGTTAAAGGGATCGGTATGTGTGGCAGTGCTTCCACGGCTTCCACTGCTTCACATCATATCTAGTAATCCGCGGACAACACATCTGTCAGCAACACATGAATTGACAAAATTTTATATTATTTCTTAACTCTTATTGCAATATATTTTTCATATTTTCCGCATTTCTCGAAAACATAAGAGCATTCTTTCCGTCTCTTGTTTTATAACAAAAGTGTAAAATTTATTTTAAAACTGATAAGAATTTTAACATATATTTTGTTATAAAATACAATTGTAGAAACGCCCATAATGATAATTGACGTTTAACATTGCAGTAAAAATAGAAACATGTTTATTTCAAATTCTAAAATTTCATAGAAATTGAATTGATCTGGTTAAAATAGAAATGATTCTGGGAGTAGTTATTATATTTTTGAAAACAAATTATGATATAATTAACAAATATAGTGTTCTTAAGATTTAATTAACTTATAATGGTAATTCCACTTATTTATTCCTTTTTTCGTTAGAAATGTTCATTATTTAGAATTATATTATTTAGTATTTGATAAGCATTACAATGAAAGCCATATCAGTAATTGATTAGTTATACGATTGCAATAATATATTAAATACAAAACACATTCTGTATTAATAAAAATAAGTCGATTTGAATTAAATGCATGAAAAACTAAAGAAAGTGATTGAGAATGAGTAAAGTAATGGTATTTGTTATTTTGTTTGTAGTGTTTATTGATCTCAATTGTATGAGATGTGTGTCATTGGGGAGAAATAGAGATGAAAGAGAGCGATGGTCTCCGGTATCTAACAGTCCATTCGGTCGACCGGTATATCTCCCCGACGAGGAAAGAGCTAAACTTTGTAATTATCTCTGCGATCCTAAACGTGGAGACGGCGGACAGTATTGTAATTGCGATTATGTCTGTACTATTAACTATCATGTCTTTTATTTAATTTACTTAATATTTATATATTTCTTTCTTACAATAGTATCCATTCAACAAAGATTTTAGACACAAAACAATGTGAACTATTTTGGGATTTTGTTATTTACTAAATTAATAACAAAATATATGTAATTAGTACAACTATAGTAAATGAATAATTCTTATTTATTACACTTTTCAACTATATGTTCTGCTAATTAACATATTTAATTTAATTGCATAAAATTTTTACAAATATAATAAACCAAATTAAAGTATTGTTCAAACTATGAATACTGTATAAATTAAGTTAATTAAAATATATTTCTATCAAATATTTGTTTTGTGAAAAATTTATATTACAAAAAGTCGATAACAACATTAAAAATAAAATATATAAAGTCTGAAAATATTTTACGTCATCGATAGAAATGTGTATTCAATGCAAATATCATATAAAAATATAAAAAATCCCAAATGAAATATCACAGCAGGTATTACTGAAAACCAAAACACAAATGGATTGACAGCAAAGAAAATCAAACTCTAAGTGAAAAATATAATTTAAAAATAGTTTACATTATATGCGTTACATTCAGTAATTTAATAAAATCTATTTGACAGAAAAATGGTACGAAACGTCTCGCATTGTCTCCAAATGTTATGCCATTAAGAGAAAGTTTGAAAATCTATACAGTAATCTACTTGAATGTGATTTCATCACAGCATTATTTATAATAATAAATATCTTTCAAATCGTTTTATATTATAAATTTAATATTATAAAGTAGTGATGTTATAATGTAAAAGATTTATATAATAATAAAAATAAACACAAAAAATGTAATTTATTTTTTTGTAAAATAATAATTGCCAAAACGTGGTACTTTAGACATTCTAAATCAATAATTGATCATAAATGCAAATATAATAAAATCTTTTCTTTATATCTAGGAATCTACAAATTGTATAACAAGTATAAAACTCTATTGAATTTCAATTTATTTTGTTATATTTATAAAATATTGTAGATATAGCTATAACATTGTTACTATATAATTTTTTGTTGTTGTATTTGATATTTTACCATATATTTCACAAAATATTTTACAGTAGTGTTTGATTAGAAATTGAATTATTACAACATTTTATATGATTCAAATATATAAACAGCAAATGGAAATATACTGTACAGCACAATTTACTACAGTATATCATGTTTTATAAATATTAAACCCAATATAATTTATAACACTACGTGCCTTGTTTAGTGAATTTTTAAACATTAAATTGCATTAATCCGGAATATATTTATAAGATTTATAAGGATGTTAAAAATTGTTTATATTAAGAAATCATAGATAAATTGGAAAAATGATCGAAGGTAATTTTTAGATCCAATATGCTTGTAAAATTAAAAACTGGATTGCAATAGGAATTAGTATCAATTAATCTACAAAACAAAGTCATTCATTTGAAGTAATTATCACTCGAAGAGGTCGATCTCCAAAATAGGTTTGCCTAAGAAATTTATTTGCATCAAAATAATTTCTCTTTAACGTGTATTTATAATATATTAAATAAGATTCTCTGAATTACATATCCCCTTAATTAAAAAAATTAATATTTAATTATAATAAATGTAGATATGATTTAATCACAGTGCAATGGTTTGTATTTGAAAAATAGCAATTGTAAGATTGTTTAAAAATTTATTATTTTTAACCATTTAAATAGGTAAATAAATGTATTTATTTATAATATAGTGTATAAATTCTTTTAAAGTAATTGTAATGAAAAGAAATCACAAATATATAATAATTTGCCTAAAACTAAAGCAATAATACGTGCCTTAGAAGTGCACTCTATTCGAGACAAGAATAAAACTATTAAAAAATAAAAACTGTTATAAAATGAAGATTAAACTCAAAGAATAAAATAAATAATAGACGCGAAATATATGATGTATTTTATAATAAAATAACTTCAAGTTTTGTGACAATTTTGAGCTGAATTCGCACAAAACAGCGCCAGTTGTTTGGTCTGTCGTCTGAATAATATGTTCACATTTTATTGATAAATATTCTCAACACAAAATGCTATACATGTTTAACATCCATATATTACAACTTTATTTGTTATATTTAAAATATTTATATATTAATGTAAGTCCAGGCGCTTGAATTCAGATCAAAATGAATATTAAAATAACTCACAAATATTTTATACAATTTCAATGATTTACATTTTAATTTCATTTGTTTATGATAATTTATATTATTTTTTGGTTAAATACATGTAGAATCTACATTCTACATTGTAGATGAAATGTTTATACATGAAATGAGAACAAACTAGGTTGGTATACAAACCAATAATAGTGACTTTATTTTAAATATTACACATGGGAAAATCTTTTAATGAAACTTTTGATTGATTGAGATTTGTATGACATTTATATTTTTTATAATGTATAACACACTTATATGCCTATGATAATTTTACAAATGATTAAAATTTATAATTAACTAATACTATGATTCTTTTTTAATAATAAATTATTAATAATAAGTTATTGTGCAAGTGTCAGAGTTTTTTATTATTTAAAAAATAGACAAATTACAATAAAACTATTTATTAATTATGACACGCAATGTATGAATGATTTCAAAATATTAAACATTAAAACATTTATAAGAATATTCATAAAACTGCTTTTAATGTAAATCAAATTCATTTTGCGTTTACTTTATACGATTACATTCACTAATCATTATTATAAACATTTAAACTTTAAATATTTGACAATTTATTTGTATAATTAATAAAAATATTAAACAATAGTATTATAATGTTATTATATAAGCAACAAAAGTTTAACATATTTGTACTATTTAATTAGATACATTTTATAATTACCGGAAATAAAAATATATTTAAAATAAATAAAAATCGTTTAAATTCGTGAAACTAAACAATTCTTTAATAATTCTTATAGATGTTCAACGTTTTTACTTACAGATTTTTATATGTACTTGTTAGGTTAATAATCTTGAGCATTTAACTATGATAACAAATTCATATTATACAATATTAATTAACAAAAATGTACAATCCTATTTTAAATAATTATTTTACTGTATGTTTAATTACTAAAACAAAAGTGTTTTTTGTAATACATAATTTGTATTTCTGGTTTTTATGTAAATATATTTATGAAAATTAAACGATTTATTAGATTTTAAGTTAATTAAAACTTGTTATTTTGCTAGCGATATGTCATCAGTATATTTGAAAATTTAATTAAATTATTAAAATAATGTATTTATGTTTATGTCAAACTAGAAATAGTTTCTGTTAAATGAATGAAAGAGACTTTTAATATTATTGATTGTAAATATTGATTTTACCTTTTTCTCTTTCTATTCGTCTACAAATGCTTATAAAGCACTCGAGACTTATTCGTCTAATTTGAAAAATCAAATAAAAATCTATTACTTATTCAAAAAGAAATATTTAATGCATTCCGTAACTTATTTTAATATTATTATGCAGAACCAAATATACAATGTTGAACAATGTTGAATATTATATAAATAATGGAAATTAAAAATTTGAATAGATTCTAGACTCACAACATGGTATATAAAGTTTTAACTAAATTGGATTCTTCCACTTTAACCTGTTCACAAAAATGTAAGCCTAAGAGAATAGTACATAAGTGTAAAAATTGCATACACCAACATATTCTAAGTCTATAACCAAATCTTTTTGCAATTTATTTAATATTAAAATAATTTTAATAAATATTAGTGACATTATAATTATTAAACCAATATGAGATAAGTCGATGAACAACATCATATGTTACATATTATAATGTGTTATTTATTATATATTTATATAAATATCCATTTGAAACTATAGTTAAAATGTATTATTATATAACGTTATTATTAAATGAGAGCCATTAAGACAAATATAAAATAACAAATTAAACAAAGATAGTAAGATAAAGAAAGTAAGACTTTACAGTATAAAAAGGCTGCACACAATTGAATGTAGAAAACAACGATTGTTAATACTTTGGTTTTGATGGCAATTGTGTTTAACGTATAAATGAGTTATAAGTAAAGACTAAATCTTAAGTCATAACAGAATTATTTTCACGAATGAATTCTCAAATTTTTGTTTCCTTTTCGACAAAATCTTAACCAATGAATCAATTGATGCGAAAAATACAGCTAAAAAGCATTCATAGTGTGAAGATATAATTGATTATATCATTGATTAAATATGATCAATAAAATTGTTCTTATTGTATTGCTCTGTGTTGTGTAAATCTTATTTAACTTACAATAATGTTATATAGTAACCATAATTACAATACAATAAAATTGTAATTAATATTCTTATTCGTATAATATTCTCAATATTCGCATAAATACACATATATCTAAATAGATAAATTATTAAATTTTATTTAATAATATGATTATTTAAAATTATTGTGTTTATATTAATAGATTGTACTACAGTACAGATTGTATAAGTTAGTATTAAATTAATACTATTAATAGTTAGCTTATAATAGAAATAAATGGAGTGTAAAAAGTGTTTCAATTTATTTTAGATGTCATTCTTTTAAACGACAGGAAGATTATAAACAATAAATAATAAAAACGACGATTTTTATAACTATCATAATAAATAATTAAAGGAAAACTGTTAAAAATATGAATCAAACTTTGAAATTGATATTAAATAATTGCAAAATTTACTATTGAATGGAGGCTAACGTGTGTTAAAGTATTGTTTAATTGGCAAAAATTATTTGGTCATTACAATCATTTCACTTGTATTTGACAACTGAAAAACATTTCTTTATATTTGAAAATGTCATATAAACTTAATAGTTAACTATAAAGACTCTAATGTAATGGTTATAATGAATACAATATAATGTATATAAAAATGGTAAAGAAGGTTTGATGACGGCTCAGCTCGCGGTGATTATTAAAAACCGAATGTAAAAAATGTTATACGAATTCAATCGCTAAAAATATACTTTTCTCAAAGGAATCGTAAAAACTTTGACTTTTGCTTTGAATTGTGAAGTGAAAAGAAATGTTGTGAATATGTGTTAATACAATTA